TCCGGGGCAGGCGGGGATAGAACTCATGCGGAAGCGGCTTTAGATTCTCAGTGCTGTGCTTTAACCCGCTGCGCCACCAGGGAGGGCCCGACACCTCCTTTTTTTAAGGTAACTTTAGTTTGCAATGCTATGTAAGGATCACAGTTACATTTTCTCAGCGCATCTACCACCAAATGTACAGCCACTAACCACCTAGACACTTAAAGTGAGATTGGTCAATATAACTTTGTGTCTTATTCTTTTCACTTCATTATATCATGAGCAGATTTTTTCATTAGTCTTTGAAAACATAACCTTTTTTTTTAAAGATATATTTATTTATGCCTACAGAACTGGGGTACAGGCCAGAGGTGCAGGGGCAGTGAGAAAATTCACCAGAGACAGAGTGGGGAGCAGAACAGGCAGATCGACGAAGTACACTGTTGAGGGGAGCAGCGGGCGGGTCAGGAGAGGTCTGCCGCGCCATGTGGTCACCTCCAGGGCAGGCAGGGATCAAACTCATGCAGAAGTGGCTTTAGCTTCTTAGTGTGGTACTTTAACCCGCTGTGCCACCAGGGAGGGCTGAAAACATAACCTTTTTTGAGATAACATTGGTAAACACACTATACAATTCAGAGGTACAGGTTTCTAACTTTTCAGGTGTAGGTTACCACAGCACACCCCTTACCAGATTACACATAGTCTTCCACCATTGTTCATTGGGGCCCCTTTCTCCCTTTGTACATTACTCTTCCGCCTCTGATAGCCTCAATTTTACAGTCAAATTTCGAGGATTTGTTCTTGGTTTGATCTTATTTGACCCTTTTTTTTTTTTTTCTATATTCTACATATGCCTGAACCATCACTGGTATTTGACTTTCTCTTTGACTTACTTCACTTAGCATAATCTCCTCCAATTCTATCCATGTTCTTGCAGATGTCAAAATTTCATTCTTTTTGTAGCTAAGTAATATTCCATTGTGTTTATATACTTCATCTTAATCCACTCTTTTTTTTTTAATTTTTAAAAATTTTTTTTAAAGATTTATTTATTTGTACATACAGAACTGGGGTACAGGCCAGAGAGGCTCAGGGGCGGTGAGAGGCTTCACCAGAGACAGAGGGGGGAGCAGAACAGGCAGATCGACGAAGTACACTGCTGAGGGGAGCAGCAGGCGGGTCAGGAGAGGTCTGCCGCGCCATGTGGTCACCTCCGGGGCAGGCGGGAATCAAACTCATGCAGAAGTGGCCTCAGCTTCTCAGTGCTGTGCTTTAACCCACTGCGCCACCAGGGAGGGCCTCCACTCTTTTTTTTTTTTAAGGTTGATTGATTGATTGGGGTACAGGCCAGAGGTGCAGGGGTAGTTAGAGGATTCACCAGAAACAGAGTGGGGAACAGATGAAACAGATCCAGGAAGTACTCTGCTGAGTGGAGCAGTAGGTGAGACAGGAGAGGTCTGCTGCGCCATGTGGATCACCTCCGGAAAATAGGATCTATCTTGCACTGAAGTGGCTGTGATTAGCTTGCAGCGCTGCATCCTAACCCATTGCACCACCAGGGAGAGCCTTAATCCACTCTCATTGTTAGGCAAGTTTGTTTATATAGTTTGGCTATTGTAAATAGTGCTGCAGTGAAAATAGGAGTCCATATATAACTCTTAGAATTAGTGTTTTTTTTTTTTTAACTGTCTTTGGATAGGTATCTAGGGATGCAATTGCTGAATTACATGATAGATCCATTTTAATTTTTTGAGAAACCTCAATACTTATTTCTCTAGGGACTGCACCAGTCTACATTCCCAACAATGTACAAGGGTTTATTTTTCTTCACACTCTTGCCAACATTTTTTTTTTCCTAGTCTTTGATATGGGCATTTTTCAAAGGTATGAGATGGTATTGCATTGTGGTTTTAATTTGTATTTCTCTTATGATAAGTGATGATGAACATTTTTTTCATGTTAATCATCTGTGTGTCTTCTTTGGAGAAGTGTTTAACTCTTCTGCTCATTTTTTATTTTGTTTGTTTTTCTTGTTGTTTTGTGGGATCTTTGTAGATCTTGGTATTAGCTCTTTGTCAAATGTATAAGTACAAATATTATTTTCCCATTTAGTAGGGTGTCTTTTCAGGGAAACATTTTTTATTAGTTGCATATTTTTACCCTCAACAAGCTTGCTATTTTTTCTTTTCTTTTTAAGAGGGTTTTATCTATTTTTATGTAGAAGAACTAAGGTGTAAGCCAGAGGTGCAGGGGTCAAGAAGATTTGCCAGAGACAGAGTGGGGAGCATAATAGGCAGATCTACCAAAATGCACTGCTAAGGGGAATAACTGGCAAGACAGGAGAGGTCTGCTGTACCATGTGGCCTACCTCCCTGGCTGGGGATTGAACTCAGGTTGTCACAGTGGTAGCACTGAGCCTCAACCCCTAGGCCACCAGGAAGGCCCCTTTAGATTATGCTTTCATAGTTCTGCAGTCTGTTCTTTATTAGTCCCTCCTGTCTCTGAATATTGTCTGTTTGCCAGAACAGTGTATCTTGGGAAAGAAGGATCTATAATTTATTCACTATCAGGCATTAGGTAAGGTACTTACATATATCTTTTTTATAAAACTTATTTATTTATGCATAAAAGAACGGTTTGTAGGCCAGAGGTACAAGGATAGGGTGGGTGAGAGGCTTCACCAGAGAGAGTGGGAAGCAGAACAGGTGGACTGATTGAAATATACTGCCCAGGGGAACAGTGAGTGATGCAGGAGAGGTCTGCTGCTCCATTGTGGGTTAGCCCATGGCCAGGGATCAAACCCAGGCCAAAGCGGTGATAGTGCTGAGACTTAATCCTTACACTACCAGGGAGGCTCCCGTACACATATCTCTTTATTCTCCCAATAACCTTGTGAGGTAGATATCATCTATGTTTTACAGTTGAGGAAACCAAGGCTTAGAGAGATTAAGAAATTTGTTATTTAAAAAAAAAAAAAAAAGAAAAGAAATTTGTTAGTTACTCAATTAAGAAGCGGTGGAGCCAGAACTCAAACCCAGGACAGTTTATTCCAAAATCCATGTTGTTGTTGGTTTTTTTTTTAACCACAGCCATTTTGCCTCCTCCTATCCTCTGATGAGCCTAAAAGCTATTAACCCATTATCCTGCTCTTGTTACAGCTGAATCCTTTATCCCATTTCCTAGTAGATTTCACTAAGCCAATCAAAATAGCACTGGTATGAAGTCTTGGGTCTAAAAACAGGAAGATAAGGCTTAGCAGAAGCTAGGTTATTGCCCAAAAGATTGTTAGAACAAAGAATTGTTCCATAGTTTCAATGATTTCCTGCTTCAGGCTTTGACCATATGAATCAGATGACTCTCTTGTTAAAATGAGCAACATTTGTAAAATTGCTGCAAATCTGTCCATTAAGCCATCAAACTGTGTTTTTTCTTCAGAGAGATTGCTGTGCATGACCATTTCTGCAGTGAATGCTCTGAAAGGGAGTTCTCTATTTTATACTATCCTAAGTAGAAGCTAAATTGTATAATTTGTACCACAGCCTCCTGATTTGTATGATACCAACACATCCCTCAGTATGTCTCGAGATGCCTCTGTATTTCAAGATGAGAGCAATATGTCTGTCTTGGATATTCCTTCTGCCACCCCAGAGAAACAGGTGACACAGGTAGGATGTTCTTTTTCTCTTTGCGAGATTGGTAGTACTATACTTTGGGGTGGGGGTCGGGTTTTGGTTTGGGAATGAAGACTTAGAAATATTTCAAGTTGAAATGTTGGTGATCACTTGATCATCATTGTCTTTAATGTGCCCCCATGAGCAGAGTAAGGCACAGCATAACTTTAGGGATGGCAGAAGTGTGAAAAATGTATATAGACTGAAAAATGACTAGAAAGACCAACTGCATTCAGAGACAGAATTAAATTGTCTTGCACCAAGATGAAAAAATGCACAAAATGAAGAATGATGTAAAAAAATAAAAAATATAATTTAAAATAAAATTATTTAAAAATTGCTTTGCTACTCTACTGTATAGAAATTAAGTTTATAAAATTAAATTTTAAAAATTGGCCTTTTCTAGAGGTGCCAGAATTACTCCTAACCCGAAGTCAGAAATATTATCAACTGCTCTTAATAAGGATTCCACTAGAGTATAGAATCCAGAAGGGTTTTTCTGTGTCTCACCAACATAAGCTACGGAAAGCTTGAGTTAGAAAGGAACGAGTTTCCTTGTGATGATAGAGTAAGATTAGACCAAGGACCTTCCTGTTCTTTGGGATTTTTATACTACCTATGATTCACAAGGAATGAAAGGCTGATAACACACATGCATTGAAAAGTGTAAACAGCCCCTGCTAGCTATGATGTTGGCTGGGATTTCAAGGAGGAATGTCCCCTGTACCTGGGTGAGAGCCCTTGGTTAAACATTCCTACAGGCATGTCCCTCAAGGATATGCTATTTTTGTTCCTTGCTTAGATGTGGATAGGAAGACTTTCATGTAGATGTTAAAAGGTATGATGAGGAGGTGGAGTATGGAAAAACCTAAGACTCCGACCACAGTTAGTATACTTCCAGAAGTTTATGGTTACAGTATACCATTATGATATGATCCCCAACAGAACAAGCCAGGCCAAATCACAGAGTGCTATCAGAGGGTCTCCATAATGAGGACTTTCAATCCTTGGAACGAGTTGAACAAGTCAGTCCACCAAAATACTTAGTTTCTTGTGAGGCAGCAGAAGGTGGAGGTACTGGTAATGGTTTCTGTTTTCTTACTCTATCAGTTGGTGGGACTTTAACTCCTAGCTGGTCTTACTCAGGAAGGTGAAGATGCAGATGGTGATCTTGCGGATGAAGAGGAAGGAACTGTACAACAACCTCAAGCCAGTGTCCTGTATGAGGATTTGCTTATGTCTGAAGGAGAAGATGATGAGGAAGATGCTGGGAGTGATGAAGAAGGAGATAATCCTTTTTCTGGTAAGGTTTACACTTGTGCTTCTACTCCAGTGTAGCTTACCTTATCACCCTCTGAACTGGATAGAAGTGCTTGGCAATATAAGCTGTTGCCAGAAGCTGCTCTTTTATTGAAGTTCCATTAGTAGACTTCAAAAGTATTGAGCATTGGCTTATAGGATGATCAAATTCTTTAATCTTAAAAGTGAAGAAATACAATGCAGCCTTTGTGGAAAACATAATGGAGATTTCTAAAGAAAAATGGAAATTATGATCCAGCAATACCCTCTATTATGAAAACTATAATACACAAAGATTTATCTACGGCTATGTACATAACAGTACTCTCCACGATTAACAAGTCATACAACCAACCTAAGTATAAGTAATGACAGTGGAAAAGGTAATGCCTAAGTAAAAGCCTTGACTTTTGAATACTTGATAAAGATGCGAAAGAATGGTATCTGCAACAACAGGAAAGGGAAATTTAAAAAAAAGAGTCTTACTTTGGGATATTTTGTGGATTAATGACAAGGCAGGGGGAAAATATAGGAGATGACAGAAAAAAAACAGGTAAGTTGGACTGAGATTGAAAAAGGGAAAGGTTAGTTGGAGTCAGTTTCTAAACCACAAATCTTGCCAGTTGACTTTACGCAATTAAAAGAGAAACCTCCTAGGGAGGAGCCTATGCAAGATTCCTGTGTAGACAGATGTGTGGGAGTAATTCATTTTGGAAGACTAGGCCAAAGATATTTTTTGTGTTTTTTTAAAAAAATGTTTTAATTTTGGGGGTTACATTTTTGTTCTTCCATGTGTGCATGTTTACTCACTTCCACCAAGCCACCATGTGAATACCTGCATCCTCCCCTCCCATTCCCTCTGACAACCATTAAATTCTTTCACTGAGTTCAAGATTTATTTCCACTAAATTTTGCCTGTGTATATTTTTTCTTGGTATATTTCACAAGTGATTCCATCTGATATCTGTTGTTCATTTTTTGACTTATTTCACTTAACATAATCATTTCAAGACCCATCTATTTTGTCCCAAATGCCACCATTTCATTTCCACAGCTATATAGTATTCTACTAAGCATGTATTCCAAGGTTTCTTTATCCATTTGTTTGTGAAGGGCACTTAGGTTGGTTGTATGACTTGGCAGTCGTGGAGAGTGCTGTTATGTATATAGCTGTAGATAAATCTTTTTGTATATAGTTTTCATAATGGAGGGTATTGCTGGATCATACATAATTTCCATTTTTCTTTAGAAATCTCCATTGTGTTTTCCACAAAGGCTGCATCAGTTTGCATTCCCACTAATGGTGGGTGAAAGTTCTTTTTCACTGCAACATTGCCAACATTTGTTGATATCATTGTCTAATTTTATATGGGCCATTCTCACATGGGTTTGAGGTGCTATCTCATTGTGACTTGATTTGTATTTCCCTTATAAGAGGGGAACAATTTTTCATGTTTGTAGACCATCTGAATGTCTTCTGTAGAGCAACGTCCTTTGCCTGTTTTTTGACTGTGCTGTTTTGTTGTTGTTAGATCATATAAGAAATTTGTAACTTTTGAGATTAGCCTCTTGTCAGATGTATGATGTACAAATATTTTTCTCATTCTGTAGATTGCCTTTTTGTTTTGTGATGGTTTATTTTGAGGCAAAAAGCTTTTGTTTCTCTTGTCGTTGGGGTTAAATCTCCAAATACATCTCTGGTAGATAACCTATAGTGTTTCTCCTGTGTCTGCTTTCAAATACTTTAAGGTTTTGGTTCTTATATCCAGGATCTTGAATCCATTTAAATTATTTTTGTGTATAGAGTTAAATATGGATCTTGCTTTTTTTTTCTTTTTTGCATGTGGCTTTCCATGTTTGCCAGCACCATTTATTTGAGAGGCTGTCTTTTCTCCATTGAATGACAATAGCTCCTTTGTCAAAGATTAATTGGATTAATTGTCCATATTTGTGTGGATTTATCTCTGGACTTTCTGTTTTATTCCAATGGTCTGAGTTTCTGTTTTTATTCCAATGCCATATTGTTCTGATTACTTTTGCTATGTAATATATTAATAGTTTGAAGTCAGAAAGTGAAACCTCCAATTTTCTTTTCTTTCAAGATTGCTTTAGCTATTTGGAGCCTTTTGTGGTTCCATAATAAATTTTATTCTTGTTTGTTAATTTTCCTTGAAATTAGTCATTGGGATTTGATAGGTATTGCATTGAATCTTAAGTTGCTTTTAGATAATATAGCCCATTACAATGATGTAAGTCTTCCAACCTGTCTTTCCATTTCTTTGTTTTTTTTTTTAACAGAGTCTTTAGTTTTCAATCTATAGATCTTTCACCTCTGTAGTTAAGTTTACTCCTAAGTTTTTCATTCTTTTGGGGCTGATTGTGGTGGGATTGTATTCCTTATTTCCTTTTCTTCTCTATGTATTGTGTATATAGAGAAATGAAATTATTTTTCTGTGTTGATTTTATATAGTCTTTTTGCTGTATTCATTTCTTTTAGTAGTTTTTTTTTGTAGTCTTCTGATTTTTCTAAGTTTATTAATACATCATCTGCAAATAGCAATACTTCTTTTCCCATTTGGATTCCTTTTATGTCTTTTTCTTGCCTAATTGTTTCAGCTAGGACTTTCAGGGCTCTGTTGAATAACAGTGGTGATAATATCGTCTTGTTCCTGATCTTACTGGGAATGCTTTTAGCTTTTCATCACTGAGTATGATGTTGACTGTCTGTTTTCATATATGGCTTTTATAATGTTAATATTTACATAAGTTCCATTTATCCCATTTTATTGAGTGTTTTTATCATAAATGGATGCTGAATTTTGTCAAATGCTTTTCAGCTTTTATTGAAATGATCACATAATTTTTATTTTCCTTTTTGCTGATCTGTTGATTGACATTGATTTGCATCTTTTGAACCACCCTTGCATTTCTAGAATGAAGCCTGCTTAGTTATTGTGGATGATTCTCTTGATACATTGCTTATTCATTTTGTTAGGATTTTATTGAGGATTTTTGCATTGGTTTTCATCAGAGATAATGGTCTATAATTTTCTTTCTCTTACTGTCTTTGGGATCAGGGCACTGTTGGCTAGAGGGAAGATGTAGGTTAGTTTTCCTCTCTCTTCCATCTTTTTTTATTTGTTTTAAGATTCATCTATTCATGCATATAAGAACTGGGATTCAGGACAGAGGTATGTGTGTGTTAGGGGGCTGGTGAGAGGAGACAGAGACAGAGCAGACAGATTGACTGAAAGATGATGCTGAGGGGAGCAGTGGGCAAGACAGGAAAAGTCTGCTTGTGCCATGCAGGTCACTCCCTGGCTGGGTACTGAACCACTCTGTAGTGGCTGCAAACAGCTCCATAGCGTGGAGACCCAACCCCCTGCACCATCAGGGGGGCCTTCTTCCATCTTTATGAAGAGTTTAAGTAGGATAGGTATTACATCATCTTTGATAACCATCAAAGAAGTTGGTAGAATTCACTATAAAAGCCATCTGGTTCTGGGCTTCTGTTATTAGAGTAGTTTTTTATTACTCTTTCAATTTT